CTCTCTCTCTCTCTCTCTCTATTGAAACTCAGAATCCGAGAGTCTCATTCTGTGCTTACGGTTCCACTTTCCTTGTTGAGAACAGCCAGCCCCGACAGTCCACACGCTCGTCTGCTTCTTTAGGTTTTGGCTCAACGCCTGTGGGGCTCGCCCTCTTCAGCCCGGACAACAGCCCACGCAGCTCTTTGCCAATCTCCTTTCGCGTTTGGGGTTTGCCAACCAGCATCTCAATCTCCTTTTATTGTTCTGGGGTTTGCCAACCAACAGTGTATGTTGGATTTGCCAACCTCCTTTCAGACTGTTTTCCTTTCAAGGTTTGGGGTGTGCCAACGAAGCGTTTACCCACTAACATTTATTTCTTGGGAAGTTTGGGGTGGCCACAAACTCATTGAGGTTAGCTTTGGGGGGCTGTTGCCATCCGCATCTCCGTTCATGTCTGCCAAACCAAACTCATTGAGGTTTTGTGCCAGCCGATGGGCCAAATTCGTCGAGGTTTTTGAATTTGCCTACCCGCATCTCCTTTCACGTTTGCGGTTCGCCAGCCAAACTCACTGAGGGTTTCGGCTTGCCGATCAACATCTCCTAGTGGGATGTGGGATTTAGAGGATGACATAAAACTCTCTGCAACAAGTTGCGAAATCGTCACAGCAAAATGCCGATTGCAACAGCATCAGCAGTCGTGACAGCTCACGCTTAGTCTTGAGACCGAGTGACGTGGAAAAGAAACTAAGCCGTCAGCACAGCTCAACATGCTTCCCATCCCTAGAGTTTAAGACAACTGACTCAGATGCTGCAAGTTTGAGATTCATGCTTGGGCCATGTTGACTGCTTTGCCGGATTTTGCCGGTGTGCGCGATGGCCTGGAGACTGGCGATTCGATTCCACGCTGCATTCTCGTTCTCATGTGCAAAGAAATGTGGGATCGGAGTGTGCAGCGCAAAGCTATCTAACACTGCGCAAATCACAACATTTCGATTCCAGTGTCACTTGCATGTCACACTGCAACCTTCTATTTCTAATACACCGCCCACCCGCAAGCAAACATGAAGGAGATGCTGGTAGACACCACAAAACGTCAATCAATGAGTTTGATTGGCAAACCCCAAAACCCCAAGAAGAGGGCACAGGCACAAGAGTGCTCTGCTGATCGATTGATTAAGTCATTGGTTAGTGCATCTGATCTCGGAGTGCTTTTCGGCATTGAAGTTGTGGTTCGCTTGGACTTGCAGTTCATATGTTATAAGTTAATACAGATATTCGAATGAATGTGGTCGACTGTTCTGCTCGATTCTATTTCATGTCTCGCCCCACATGAACGTCCATCAACTGAGACGGACAACAGCCTCCGCAGGCATCGGTGCGGTCCAGACGGTGTCGGCATCAAAAACCACCTTAGGGGTGTTGCAGGGGCAGAGGTCAGAGCTAAGCATCTCAAGCCCGGGGTTGGCTGACACACATTGGCGAATGAGTGAGGCCAACGTGACCAAACTACTACTTTTGTTTCCATGGCAAAAGCGGGCTGTGGAGCGGAGCAGCCGCCAACGGTGTTGGGCCCACAGGCTACACACTGCGGGAAAGCACTGCATGAACCTGAGCAACTCCTGAGCACAACTCATGTATGAAGCATCCTTCGAAGCAGGAGAATGACGCGACAGCAGGCAGAAACACAAAAAGAAAACAACGCTGCTGAGGATGAAAGTCAGGACGAGGCCGGACGAATTGACTTGGACGAGGAAGCTCTGGGCTGAAGGCCAAATGTACAAACACTCATGAACCGGCAGAAAAGGGAAAAACTCAATCGCCAACCAAACAGAACCGGTGAAGATCTCGAGAGTCGAGCGTCAACTTTACCGCAATGCTTAACACGTGAGCTATGCGGTTCTTCTCGACCAGCTGCTAGCTTCTTCAACATCGGCCATGCCTGCACAGGTTGGGCACATGCACAAATCGACTGAAACCTCACCTGCTGAGGCCTTGCGGTTGGCAGACCCAGCTGCAAAGCGCTTGAAGGCTGAGCTGCTTGAGACAATCTTGGCTGATTCATTTATTGAAGAGACCGTCATGCATATTTATGGAAATCATGACAGCAACCAGCAACGACGAATGTTCGGACCGACATTTGAGCAGGACGAAACCGGCGAATATCGCCGACTGCAGGAGGAGGAGCCATGCAGCCTTTTCATTTGCAGCTGCGGTGCTGGTGTCAATTAACCAACAGGCATAGGAGCACAAAACGCTCGCCAGGCTCGTGCTGAAGCATTGTCGGCTTTAGTCGCTGCCCCTTCGCCGTATTCTGATAAGGCAGGAACATCCAAACGGACCCTGGTTATCCCTGATTGTCACGCGAGTGAGCACCTGAAAGAGGTGTCGTCTTCTGAACGTCCAACCCTGCCGCAAGTACTCCGGGTACGCAGGCTCGACCCATGACATGGCATGTGCCACAGGATCGTGTGTTTCGCTTGCGTGAGGCCGGGCAGCCGCCAGGAGGACGGAGATCAAGCGCAGACGGTGCACATACGGAAGTGGGACGTTGAACCCGATGAGCCCGTTGTTAATGTCGGCTCGACAGCAGAAGATGCAGAAGGCCAAGGCTTGGGCGGATGCAAACATGCTTAGCACTTGCCCAACCATGAGCATCCGCCTCTTGCTCTTTTGGTCAGGTTCGCCTAGTCCCGAAGAACGTGGCCTGCAAGGCCTATCTCAATATGCATCTGACGAGAGCTCTGAGGACTGCAGTTTAGGCATGAGATGACCTGTGGCTTGTTGCGTAGCGGCACAGCAGCATGGACGGGTTGACAGGAGGAGATCGACTCCGACGATGAACGTGAAGTAGTGTGAGGAGTGCTTGTTAGCCTGTGCCCGAAACGAGGGCACTGAAACTGCCAAACTGTGTGGCAAACATACATCTACAGCAGCTGCTTCGTGGCCTGCTTGTTGTCTTGGGGCTTCGCATCTTGCATGGCTACCCTTACTGTGGCGATGGCAGGGGGGCAGGCCACATTCTGCAAGCGACGAGGGATGGGCGGCCTGATCGTTGCTGCATCGTCGTGTCACCGAGGCAGAAGATCCGACACATGGTAAATTTGAAGGAGGACAGTCACATACAGCTGTGTGGCCCACGCGTACGACTACACCATTCACGCTGCACACCGTGCAAGGAGAACAAAGAGTTACGCGAGCAGCTAAAGAAGGTCAATGGCGATGTTTCAGATTGGTAAAGCCTTGTTTCCACGATGTGTCTTGTCCGTGGCAGGCGAAGCAACGCATCACTCAGCTGGGAGCCGCATGCTCACAGGAAGTTGTCTAGCTTACATGGAACAGACACTTGGGAAGCTGCTGCGCCCAAGGTGTCACGCAAAGGAGAGGGTTTGCTTGAAGCCCTGGCCTCCTTCTCGCATTCGCACAGTGTAGGCACGGCGACGGACGGCGGGGAGCTCCATCTTTCTCTTGCTCTGCCATGTCAAGCGTGTCAGGTGATCAGTTATCTGTTCCAGCCAGCCCCTGGGGACCTGAGACGCCCAATGCAAGAGGCAGCAAGAGAGGTAGGAAGACTTTCTCGCGGGTTCGTGACCCAGATGGACAGGTTCAGAAACGCGAACATCCAAGCGCCCGGGGACGCCAACTCGAAAGCCGGCGTCACCCCCTCAGCCTCACGCACCCAAGACTCATGTGTAAAATCATGCACTGATGGGGTTGATTTTCGTACTGGTAGATGCCAACCGGGTTCTGCTCGCGGGGCTCGGTCAACTCCTCACGAGGACGGGTCGGGAGGGATGCAGCGTTCCTGCTTCTGCAATGACGGTGACTGTGGAGGGTCTGGGGTATGTATGTGCCAGATTCCGATGAGTGTGTCACACACGTAATTAGAGAGCGTACTCAGTCCATGCACTTTTCAGATGCACGACTTGTGATCCGGCAGTGAAGCCGGGTTGCACCGGGGCTCGTGTGCCTCGGCGATGTTTTCGCCGCACTTTCTACTGTCAGCAGGTGATTTCCATCCAGGGTGCGGGTTGCACCTTTGCTTTTCCTTCGACGGCCCTGGACCTCGTGACGGTGGGGTTCTGCCGTTCTGCTGGGTGATTTTAGGGAGGTCTCTGAAGCGACTGTCGGGGAACCAAAGTAGACGAGCAAACCCGATACCACTGAGTCCTGGTGCAAGTAGGGGATCACTGCTCCAACTGGATTGGGCAACACGCCAGCCACGGCTGCTGCCACCACACACCGACTACTGCAGAATTTGGGCTTGCGAGGGCGGCCGGTTGCTGCCGGGTGTGCACACGTGAGGGCTACCCGCCTCAAAGACCAGGCCAGACCAACCAACAGGTTGCCTTCGCAAGCATAGTTCCATGGGCAGTCGCATGCCAGAGTCTTCCCCTCCACGAAAAACAAGGTCAGCACTGAGACTCGACAAAACCTGCTCCACACACAGAGGGAGCCACTCATGGACACCGCAATTGTGTCGAGGCATAAAGAAAATAGATGCCCGGCAGCCGATGGGAGTGGTGGCCTCGACCCACGTAGACACAATGCTGTCCTCTCTGAGAACACTGTGAACCTCCACTCGCCGGGACACTCGAGCAGCCTCGCTCGGACGCAGCCCCAGCGAGAGGGGGCATGGCCCACTCCCGAAGCGCCCTCGGGTCCAGGTCGACCCGTGCACTGGACGCTTGGCAAAGCCAACACGGCAGGCCCACCAACTCGAAGCCATGGCAATATGAAAGGCAAGAGGGGCAGTATATTCCGCTTCCTTTCTGGACGGATAGCGCACGTGACCGCCCTGCTCCCAAATGGCACTGCATCTGCGGGCCCTGGGTCAACTCCCAGATGTTGTGCCTGAAACGCTGACGCTTGCACCTCAGGGCCTGATGGTTGGGGCTCCGTGTGAGCCTTTGCATCATGAAGCTGCTGTTGTACGCTTGCTAACTCCTCCTGAACAGTGCCCATCCATGCGGCAATTGATGAAATCGCTATGTCCTTCTGGAGTTGCTTCACGACGCGCTTCATGTCATCCACTTGCGACATCTTGCGACGAAGCTCCGCTAGCTTTTCAGCCATGCCGTTCGCCACGGTGTTCTCTGCAGTGTCTTTTTTGTGCTCTTCCCTGGCATATCTGCGTTGTAAAACTGCCGCATGTCCGCAAACTCGGGGTAATCTTTGTGGCCAGACTCTTCTGTCGGGATCATCTCGCCTATGCTCTTGGCAGCCAAAGTCCCCGTGGCTGTCCCGTCTGAAGGAGCCACTCCTCCGATGTTCGGCTCCGACCGGAACCCGGCCACGAACCCTGCAACAGGCGGTCCAATCCAAGCGGTAGCGCATGGCGGCCCTGACCACACAGGCCTTGCTTGCCACTCGCCGGGGCGTAGCACAATTGCGTGAGCCGGGGCCTGTGCTCCACTCGGTGCCGATCCAATTCCCGTATGATCGGTACACCTTGCTTGCCAATCGCCATTTTGGAGGCCGTCGTCCACCAAGACCCTTTTTCATCCCAGATGGTGTCGACTGCCGTTCAATCTCCTGGAAGGTTTCCGTTTCCCCACGATTGAGGACCTTGTCAACGCTCCACCTTTCTCGGACTTCATTCAGTGGTGTCGAGCGCGAGATGCCGACTGGGACGGACCGATTGTTCTGCAGCTGGTGAGCTCCCAACGGTAGCAGTGGCAGCAGACTGCTGAGGGACAGCAGGTGGGCGCCATGGCACACAGGGCAGCGCTCCCTCCCGTGCTGCCGTTCGGGCTTCACATGGATGAGCATTTCGAGCTCGCTCGACTCGACCTCGACCTTCACCCGGCTCTCATGACTTCCTTTTTGGCATGTCGGCAGTTGGCACAGCGCCGTGGAACGGAGTTTTCCCGGCCCAGCCTTGCCGCGAGATCCCACGTGCTGAGATTCTGGAAGGCGCAGAGGCGAGTAACGCCAGGGTCCGAGCGAGCTACACCCAGGGAAGGACGATGATTTCCTGCTGCAGCAGAGTCTCAAGGATGCTGAGCATGGGTTCTGCTCTTATCCCATGCGTCACTCCGGGCTACTCCGCTGTACCAAGGGTGAACCTTGTCGCTGAATTCCCCGCTGCGTCATCACGCAGAGCAGCAGCAAGCAGCGTATTATTGATAATGCTGACTTAGGCAGACAAACAGCTCTCAGCTCTGACCCCAACAAGTTGGTGTTGTGCTCCCCACTTTGTCCCGCACGGCATGCTGCTGCCCTGCTCTCTTTTTTGAGCCCCGAGCATCTCCAGCAGGACCAGGCCATATCCGCTGGGGTGCTTCTTCCTAGTGCCGCTGCCAAGCTGTATGGCACTTGCAGTTTCCGGGAGCAGGGTCGTGCGGTTGAAGGCGGGAGAGCTGTGACTCCCCCAATCTTGGCATGCCTTGAGCTGATTGAAGCGGTCCTTTCTGTGCGCCCTGAGCGGGAGTTTGATGTTCTTCCTCGCCCATGCCCCCCCTGCCTTGCCGCGAGCGACGCGGCAGAGGGTGTGCCGGGCAAAGGTTCTGGCGGGTTCCATTTGGTTTGGCTGCTCGCGCCTGGAGAAGCGAGAGAGCTTCATTGTCGTGATCGGCCCTGAGCTCTACTCCTCCTGCACTCTTGGAAATCAGAAGATTGCCCAGCTCGAGCAATGGTGCTGTACGCTCTCACTGCTAGAGCAGCGGCTTTCCGTGGCCGCCGTGGTTTCTGGTATGTTGATAATGTTGCAGCTCTGATGGTGCTTACACGTGGTCGATCTAGCTCGCCCGATTTGGAGCGTATGGCCCAGCAGATCCATTTGACCCTTTTTTCCTTGCGGGCATCTTTCTTCTTTGAGTATATTCCGTCTAAGACGAACTGGGCGGATGCAGTGAGCCGCGTAGGCTTTCAGGATCCGTGGATCCACCAGCGACGCTTGTCTTGCCATCTTGCCTGGTTACCAGTCCATCTCTGGAGCTTGCCTCCACGCCGTGCTGCGTGTCTTCGAATTCCTTTGAAGTAGTGCTTTGGGATTTCTATTGCCTTGGGTGTCGCCGCCGCCCCTCCGGGGGAGATATATATGTTCGAACGGCGGGAACCTGTTCGGCCATATGTTTACCTCGAGGTTTCTACCAAAGCACTATCCAGTGAGTGCGTGGTCAGAGAACGCAGCGCGAACTTTGATGTGTAGTTCTGCAATTCAAACTTCATTAATTACCTGGAGAAGTGTTCGCGGGCGCACAGCATTGAAGTCTCACCAGTTTATACCAGTTTCTGACTGATCCGAAGCGTCGGCTCAACCTGTAACCTTGTTGCAATGCTTGCTTTTCTCAACAAGACAGCAAGAGTTCCCAACTGGGTTCATCCCATGTTACCCTCATTCCCTTGTCCTTCACTTCAGACATTCTCCAGATATTGCATATGCTTGTGCGCTAGCAGGATAATTGCTCGTAACATCGGTTTTGCATGCTTCTGCCAAGGCGCAGGTGCCAGGTCATCGGCGCAGAGGCTTTCTAAAAGCGTATTGTCGTATTGTTGTTGGAATCTGCCAAGATGAACGGTGTGACGGTTGCCGGGCGCACTGGTCACTCGGATGTTGACACGACGCAAGATGTAGCCACAGTTGTGTATAGGAAAAAGACAATTTCGGTGGAATCGGACGCAACAAGTTGGGGCTGTCAGCATAGAATCGTACAGCAAAGCATGCAAGAATGCAAGGAGGAGTACCAAGCCCGCATGGTGGAAGAAGAGAGAAGGCGGCAGATGCAGGAGCTTCATCACGACAGACGTTTCAGGTAGCCTAGTTGTGAACATTGAACCTGGGTGATATATCAGGAGCGCACGGTGGAGCGCATGCAAACAGACTTCCAGCACTTCATTGCGTTGATCGAGAGAGCCCCTTGACTTTGAAGTGCCGACCACTCTTCAGCAGTGAACCCAGAGAGTAAGCGGTCAGACTTTTTCAGGCTGTGCTGTCGGAAGATCGTGTGGAAGATGCACCCAACCCCGCAGCTCCCGGCTTAAAGGGAGATGCCACGAATGCTTCTTTAGACCCCCGCGAGACGCGAGCCTTGAGCTGCTTTCCAGGCTTTGTTGGAGCGGCTCCGGGATGTTGCCAGCGAGCGCCTGGAGATCACTCGGCCCTCTCGTCCAGGCCGATGCCTCCGATGCCACGTCGTTTTTCAGAATTCCCGAGCTCCCGAGCTGTCTCCAGACGGCGACGAGCCTCTGGAGCTTGACATGGCATCTGGGTTCGGAGCATAGTGCCAGGGGTTCTGCATCTCTAGATCACGTACAGGCTGCGATAGTGCCGAGGTGCGACGTGGGGCTGCAGGCCAGTCGACTTTGCATTCGCTTTTCCTGGAAGAGTCCCTGTCCATGTTCATAGGTCGGAGAGTGCGGGGACATGGCGTGAGCGCGAAGAAAAGAAAGCAAGCCATTTCTGTCAGCACCAATTTGTAATTAATTTGCAATCTCCACCTACCGGAGATTGTGTGCAGGTCACACAACCATTTCTGCTGGATCTGCTCCACCACCGGGGCCCAACAAAGCAAGACACTAGAACTTGCTACAGAGAAGAGGTTTTGCTTCGTTCTGTCGCTTGTCCTCATGGACAGGGAGCTAGGGTGTGCGAAGGTCACGGTGGAGATCGGTGGAGTTTGGGCAACAGGTTGTGGAGAATCTGCTCCAACATGGGCCACCTGATGCAAGGAGCGGACACGGGCGGAGCGGCAGACGAGAGAAACATACGGTTCTGCATGGTTCTGCTGTTGCCACATATGGTTCTGTAAATTTAGGTGGTTGCTGCCATGCCGCATGTGCACAATGTTCTGATTGAAAGGCCGGGCTCAAGATGCGATGGCACGTACAAGCGCTTAGCCAGGATACTATGTGCCACGCTGAGCCATGACACCTAGCGCAAGGTGGTCGCGGTTTTGTTTGCTGAGCTTGGGAACCGTTTACTTTGCTCGACTGGCTTTGAACTTCGTAGCTGGACGATCGCGCACGGAGCTTTCGAGAAGGACGGCGCCTCTTCGCGGGGCGGCTATTCCACAGCTGGCCGATCTTGATGCCGAGCTAGGAATTTTGGCAACTTTGCCTCAGACTGGATCCCTGTCGCGATACAAAGGTGCAGCCTTTGATGCTGAGGCTGAGAGTTTTTTAAGCATGTAGTGTTTCTGCATTCAGCAACATTAGCACACTTGTATACGCTTGTCTACGCACTTAACACACAAAGACAGACAGAGACAGACAAACAAACAAACAAACACGCGCGCGCACGCACGCACGCACGCACACACACACACAGAGACAGAGAGACACAGAGGCTGGACGCCCACTGGACTGCAATGCTAAAGTGCAGTAAAAATGGCAATCACGGGGCTTCCCCCCC